CCCTGTGGATGGGTCGTGAGCAGAAGGTCCAGTAAAGAAGGCGCTTGACATGGAATATCTGGGATCCTGGTGGGCTGATCAACCAGTTGCTTCAAGTCATGCGTGAGAGCGAATGTGTGAGCAGAGATCCCTGCATGGTCAGTTTTGGAAGAACTTAACCACAAATTGTGGTGAGCATTAAAGTCCCCCAAAAACACCAATTCTGCATTGGGAAATCGCTCCTGCGCGTCATCTGCTGCCCGACTAAGGTGTTCAAAAAGTCGAGTTGTCTCAACATCGCCGGTGTGGGATCTGTAGAGGCACACGTAGACTCTGGCCCGGGGGCCAGAGTCGACGTGTACCCCCAGCATGGAGAAGGAGGGATCTTCCAAGCAGCGGAGACGGCGACAACAAACATCCGCCCGAACATACAGGCATACACCGGCTTTCGCTTTGAAGGACTCTTCAAGCACGTAGCCGGGATAATTAAGGTAGCCTGTGTCAGCAGGCGGAAGTATTTGTGTCTCCGTCAGGAACAACAATGCTGGCCGTGCTGTCTCGAGATGGTGGTGGACAGCGTTGAGGTTAGAGTGGAGTCCGCGTATGTTGCAGAACTCGACCTCAAACAGCGTTTAAGGCGTGGGGGTGTGCACCGCTGTACGTCCAAACTTTGTTATTGAGGCTGCCATGGTGGAAGTGAAAAAAAAAGAGACGCGAAAACGAGCGGACGCCGTCGCGAAGAGTCCGGGCAAATAAGGGGGGTTTGTCTTCCCGATTGACTGCCTGCAGTGGAGATGCGCCGACCCGCCGGACGGAAGGGCCCCCGCACCCCCCCGGGAGTGGCCGCCGGGACCCCACGCCCCGGTCACCAACCGGCACGACGGTCCACCCCGAGATTATGCGTGACATGATTGGGCAGCCTCGCGAACTGGTTAGGAACGCTTGGGCCCCTGTACTGTGCCACGGGCGGCCAGCGGGACAGCCGTTTCTACGGGTCTCCCTGGCCGGCGGGTCGATGCAGTCCTCCCGGCATCGGTTCCACGGATGCCTCCCCTGGACCGAATCCTTCGCGACAACTTCCACTCGAGCTCTGGTTGTACGCTGGCTGACCCCGAAACGCGCGAGAAGCACTTCACGGGTTTTTCACCATGCGCACGGTGGTAACAAACCAGGCGGGTGTTAGGCACCCTACCACCAGAAGAGCGGATGGAAGCTCCGACATCCCTTAGTCGCTTCTTACGACACCCACGGGAAGAAAAGGGGCGGTGAGTTGTATTCTTTCTCCGTCACCGCACGGATAAAACTGTTATAACTGTTTTTATAAAAAATTAAACTTCATGCAAATATTTTAGGAAAATTAGAGAAGACTCCTTATATGATGTGGTTCAACGCCCTTCCATCTTTATTTGTATTTTTGTAACAACCTGTATAAATTAATTAATTACTAAAGTTACAACCATGAACAAAATCATACATAACAATATGCAATAATATATATGTCTTACAGGGTTGGCTCATCTGACGTCTAATTTAGTAGGTACTTTGTATTAAGATTAAACGTCGGCCCCTTTTTTTTGTCATAATGAGTATTATAACTGTCAATAACAATCAATCTAAAAAAAATACGGAGCACCACTCGAGTACTGAAAGGTATAAAACAAAGAGATTTGTATTTTAGAGAATGTACCGGCACTTTAATAATTAAGTGCTGGTACATTCTCTAAGACAAGATGGGATGATGACATTCGTAGGCTGGCTGGCGTGAGCTGTATGAGAGTGGCAGAAAATCGGGAGCAGAGGCGTGCATTAGGGGAGACCTATGTCCAGCAGTGGACGAGCATGGGTCGATGATGATGATGATGATGATGACATTCTCTAAAATGAAACGAACAACAATAATGTTATATCAGCACTTTTCAGTCTCTGATTTCATTATCTTCGTCAATTATCCCCTTTAGCAAATTGAGACGAAACTAAATTTATAACAAAATAAAAACAGTTACCTAATCTTTATGAATTAACAGACCTGGGGGCCATTCGCCTAACGGAAATGCTTTGGAAAACGCTAACGCTTTCGATTTTATTTTGTTATTTCTAACCGCCGACGGCTTTCAAATACCTCACGCCCATTTATTTTCATTATTGTTATTACCAATGCAAAAGAAAGAAAAAGAGCGCGAGGCATTTGAAAACCTCAGGCGGCTAAAAATAACAAAATAAAATTGTAAGCGTTAGCGTTTTCCAAAGCATTTCCGTTAGGCGAATGACCCTCTGTTTGATAAGCAAAAATAGTGTGCATAATTCTCAATAAAATTAAGGTAAAAAAAACCTTTTTAAAAACAAGCTTTTATTCAAATGCGCTAAAAAGAAAAAAAGAAAATTTCAACTAAATTAGGTAAAGATATGTGTTTCTAAATAGATTTTCAAATTTCAGAAGTCCGCCATATTGGATTGAGAGTGACGTCACATTTTTTTCGAGTTACTCTCAGCAAGCCCTTTAATTTGATACCCATATTGTAGGAATGCATTAAAAATGATTGGTCCGCCATTTTGGGTATGCCGCCATATTGGATTTAGAATGACGTCACACTGTTAATCATGCATTGTCATCCGAACTGAACGAGCATATCAAATTTCAGCTTAATCGGTTGAGAGCAAGTGCTTTAAAATTGAGTTGTAAGATTTGACCGTAACAAACATACATAGCAAGTTAAATAAAAGCTTGTAAAAACGATAAGGAATTTGTAATAATCTGGAAGAGCCTCCGCTAAGGGAGTACAAATTAAAGGAATCACCTATTGAATGTAATAAGAAGGGCTATGAGCAGGCGAGACTCGAGTCGTCCCGCAGTATCGCCGTCAAAGCGCATTATGAGACCAATCAAACTTCGACCAGCAATACTGCCTCCCTCCCACAGCCCTCTCGGGAAATCCAACTGCTGGTACAGACGCGGTGTCGCGCTTTCCGCTCTTACGTAGCCTAATTGATGATAACCACTTTATTTGGTTAGCTATTAAAATATAAATAGTGACTTTGTATTTACATAGTAATTAAAAGCTCTTTTTTATTTATTTACTAGCGGCCCTAGCGCTTCGCTTCTGTGTAGAGCTGAAGTGTAGACTACAGTTTTTGTTCTCAGGCTTGTATTATACTTGCACAATGACATTCATCTATGATTCTTCTTAAACCTGCATGCAAAGTCTCAGCCCGATCGGTTTAATATTGACAAAGTTTCATACAAACTTTCATTCCCTATTTTATACCCTTGGGGGTAGAATTAATCAAAATCCTTTCTTAGCGGATGCCTACGTCATAACATCTACCTGCATGCCAAATTTCAGCCCGATCCGTCCAGTGGTTTGGGCTGTGCGTTGATAGATCACTATGTCAGTCAGTCACTTTTGAGTTTTATATATATAGATTGTGTACGGTAACGGTTTATATTACATACTAGCAAACCAGGCGAACTCCGTTTCGCCATCAGATGGCTTCGTTTTATGTAACATTTCGTTTGGTGATTAAAAGAAGATTTTTTTTTTGAAATTTTTCCTGAATTTTCTTTGCTATAAACCTCACGGAGCCCGAGACCTTTCCAACGAATGCAAAACCGTGGAAATCGGTTCGTGCATTCTGGAGTTATAGCGTCAGGAAGGAAAACCCGACTTATTTTTATATAGTAGATTGCAGTACTATAAGTCCGTATTCAGAAAGATTTGGAAAATAAGAAAAACGCAATAAGGTTCAACAGCTTTATTGTGACTGAAATTAGCTTTATTGCGGCAGGCGTAGCTACCGACACGCACATATATACGCAATACATTTGGTATAGTATAGGTATTATGAAGGGTGTAGGAAGGCCAAAGGGGAAGATCTTCCTCCGAGCTGGGTGATGTTAGCTCGGGGGCCGCGGCCCAACTGATGTTGGTCGGGCATCGTATATATGAAGAGTTAGCTTCCGAATTTCATTTGCGCGATGTAGGCTTCCATACTGTTATTGATCGCAGTGCAGGTAACGCCATCTCTTGAGGATGGTGAGTAATGATTTCCTCCATCCGTTGTCTATATGTGGGGCATATAGATGTCGCCGCCACAAGGGCATAGAATTACGTAAACCCAACAAAATATAATGTGTCCGTACAAGGTGCAATTCTAATGTAAGGTGTTTGTCCTGTTTTCTGCAATAAAAGCATTTGTCTTCATATTTGCGAATGATGATCTGTTGTGTGTGCTCTGTGATGCAAGGTCATCAATTCATAGTTCTTGTCTCGGATTGAGTAACATTTCGTTCTACTTATTTTACAGGATGTAGTGTTTCTATATTAATTTTGTCTATACCTATATTCTCTTTAAATGTGTAGTTTAAAGTATTTTGTTTCTTTTTACAGCTTTTTAAGATGTGTGCATTTTTATCATGATGTGTAGAAAAAAGCATTTTCCTTTTTTGGAAAGAGTAGTTGTTATGTTTTTCTTTTGACGTGACAACGTCTTAAATTAGGTTGCGGCTGGGAGTCACTTATGAAAAAGTGTAACGCTCGGTAACGTTACGATGAGTTTAAGTTTACATGTACAATGTTTTAGTAAACAAAATATATTTCTATAGTTAAAATTTGTGCAATTCTTATTTTCATTCAATTCCTTGTTCCTATTGTGCAATTTAATTATATTCATATCAATAAATATTCTACCGAGAAAAAGACGTTGTCACGTAAAATCTTCGCCCGTAAAACCGACTTTACAGGCAACCATTTTTTTTTTAAGCATTTAACTGCTAGAATTTTAAATCTAAAGAAAAGTTTTAATAGAAAAAATCCACGCGGACCAGGCAGCGGACGGGACTTGAACCCGCACCCTTCGCAATCCGGGCGAATGCACTGACCAATTATGCTACCACGGCTGTCGCGGGTTCGAGTCCCGTCCGCTGCCTGGTCCGCGTGGATTTTTTCTAGTAAAACTTTTCTTAAGATTAGTTGTGTTGCATTCTTGCTGCAATGTTTGAGTTTGATTTTAAAATTTGCGTTTTGTTTGCAGGCGACACAATATGTCCGACGGGCATGTTCCGGTGTCCCGAGGGGCGCTGTATACCGGCGTTATGGGTGTGCAACTACCAGCGCGACTGCGACAAGGGCGAGGACGAGTACCAGTCATGTCGTGAGTACCACACACTACACTACATATGTAAAAGGGTTTATGCATATTAATAATTAAGACGACCTCCCTGGCCGAGTGGTTCGTACGCCGGGTTTCATGGTGTCGCCGACTCGAGAGGTCCCAGGTTCGAATCCCGGTGGGGGCAGATGTTTGTGTGATGAATACGAGCATTTGTACTCCAGTCATGGATGTTTAATATGTAATTCTATATAAATATACTTATATATGTACAGTATATGTATTCTATTCGTTACCCTAGCATCCCATAACACAAGCCTTATAGTGCTTACTTTGGGGCTAGGCTAATTGGTGTGTGTGTTGGAAATATTTATTATTTATTATTATTATTTATAATAAGTCGATGCTCTGCGTGCGAGACGTGTCATCGCGCGCTGACGCTTTGTTAGTTTGTTGCAGGGCTTGTAACCGGTTTCGAAAATACCGGTAAATAAAGGTTAATACCGGTTTTTAGTAAAGGTTTCGTTCGGAGCGTGTCCGAAATGGAAGCGATACCTAAAACCTTATAAATCCAGAGCGACACGTGCACGCGTCGGCATCGCCTGAAGTTTGTTTTTTTGAACTAAACAAGTCACAACTTGTTAATGTTCAGAGATTGATGCATTTATTGACACGTTTGCTAGCGTCTAGACTTTACTCACTCGATCGATAAAATTTGAATTGAAACGGCGAAGGTGATGCCGTCAGTAAGAGCGAAATGAAACCCTTTAAAAACCGCTAAATTGATTCAAAACCTATTTGATTTTGCTTTTTAGGAAAACCGGTTTTTAAGGTTAAGGTAGAGCCAAACCTAAATAAAACGCTCCTAATGTGCTTGATACTGATTTAAGTTTGAAAATTAACCGGTAAACAAGCCCTGGTTTGTTGTAGGTCGCGCAATTTCTATACGATCTGAGATAATAGGGATGATGACTAATTTTTTTTTCTTCGTTTATCAGGTAGATTATGAAAAAGTATTGGACACGTATTTTTTTTTTCACATAATATAAACATTGCAGAGGTATATTGATTTGAAAAGTCGCATGACGTCACGTTTGAGTACACCTATAAGTGAAAATTCACTCAATAGTGACGTCACGAGCCACTACTCCCAAACTTTGACGCGCTATAACTTTGTCATTTTTGGTTGATTGCCGAAAGAAAAAATACGTGTCCATTATTTTTTGATCATCTAACTGACGGACTAAATAGAATTTCGTTTACTGTACCCCGTCATCATCCCTATTGCATACAACGTTAAAACCTGCGCTCCCGCGCTTTGCGACCGAGCGTGGTGCAGTGGTTGACCCGCCTAAGAGGCGACTGTAGCTGCAACATTTTTAATACACACACATATTTTTTATGCATATTTCGTTAATAAGGATGATGTGGGGATAAATTAAACGAAATTCTATTTAGTCCGTAAGTTAGTTTATCAAAAAATAAAATGGACACTTATTTTTGACATGATTAATAGCGTCTTATAAATTAATGAACACCGGCTGCACGCAGGAACAAGTGTGACGTCATGTCACGTTGTCACGAGTTAGTCCACCGTTCCGCCGTCTGTTTTTTTTATAGATAGGTCCGATAAATGACTCCACCCCACCTGATGTTAAGTGAAGGTGAATTCCAGACGCGAAGATAGCTGATACAGCAGTTCTACCTGCCACACCAGCCATCCTCACCCTGCCGGCCTGCATGTTGCTTCTTCACGCCTCTTTTAAAGGATCCCAGGTTGTAAGAGGGAGGGAACACGTGAGCGGGCAGAGCACTCCATTTACGTCTGTGTGTGAGGTGAAGTTAGGGACCCGACTCCCCCAACCCCTCCGACTTTTTGGTTTACCTAAGTTATTTTGCAACTTTATTAACAACTAGTGGCCCGTCCTCGCTTCGCTTCGGTGTAGATCTGTAGTGTAAACTATAGTTTTTGTTCTCAGGCTTGTGTTATAAACAATAACTTTATTTATATAATTACACGTGTTATTGTGAGTCAACCATATAAGATAGACATATGCTGTTGCGGGATATTTTTTAGACAATTTTATGTAGAATATTTCCGTCATACATAATATCTTTGTAACTTTAACCATTAAAGCTGCACACGCGACGGAAGCTTAAAAAATGGAGTAACTTCTCCCGTTTTTCCAATATTTCCCTTCACTACTCTGCTCCTATTTATTGTAGCGTGATGAAAAGTATACTATAACCTGCCCAGGAGTATGAAGAATAATTGTACCAAGTTTCGTTAAAATCTGTCGAGTAGTTTTTGTTTCTATAAGGAACATACACACAGACAGACAGACAAAAATTTTACTGATTGCATTTTTGGCATCAGTATTGATCACTAATCACCCCCTGATAGTTATTTTGAAAATATATTTCATGTACAGAATTGACCCCTCTACAGATTTATTATAAGTATAGATAGATTAAAATGATGAATATAAACTTTCTTGCTACCACGGCCCTATTCGCCGCGTCGAAATTTTTCTAGCCTTAAGCTGTGGGTTACCTACAATGTGAAGAGATGGCGCTGCCTTGCAGCTTAAGCCTTAAGGATAGGAAAATTTTGACGCGGCGAATAGGGCCGTGGTAGCATAATAGTCAGTGCATTCGCCCGGATTGCGAAGGGTGCGGGTTCGAGTCCCGTCCGTTGCCTGGTCCGCATGGATTTTTTCTAGTAAACTTTTCTTTAGAAATAAAGTTATAAATAAAAGTTTAGTTTTGTGAAACCCTACCTGATGGCTCAATTCCGTAATTTGTGACTTAACTTAATATTAGGAGACATCATCTTCATGTAATAAATAAAATTTTAAAAACAATCCACCAATTAATTAATCACCTATGCACACTAAAATAAATTTGAAAAAAAATCTTATGAATAAAATGCAAGCTACACTTAAAGAAAAATTCAAAAAGTTCGTTAAAAATAAATTATCATGTGACTATCGTACGTTTTTCTGCCTGATTAAATATAAAAATCCGACTGCCGCGTTACGTAACGGCATAATCTAATTAGGATTTAAGAATAATAATAAAATTTCAATTTTTCCAACACCCACACCAATTAGCCTAGTCCCAAAGTAAGCACTGTAGGCTTGTGTTATGGGATACTAGGGCAACGGACAGATTAGATTTAAACATCTAGCAGTTAAATGCTTAAAAATAAATAAAAACATAACTATAAACTTTCTTAATCTGTAAACTGAGAGAACGCCCGACTGAATGAAGCGATCAATTAATTTGACGCTTTTGAGTATGGCTCATAGATACCTATGCGGGAAAAATATAACGATTCAAAATAATAATGTATGTTAATTTTATCGTATTTCCAACAGACTCGTTTCTGAAAGGGTTTAACGAAGCATCGGGTTTCGTTTTAACGCTTTCCTTTATTCGACAATCAAACCTTTGTTGTTACAAAACACGGAACTGTTTTTTTTTTTTCAACAAAATTTTGTTCATTATGGAAAAAAAAAAATGGTTGCCTGTAAAGTCGGTTTTACGGGCGAAGATTTTACGTGACAACGTCTTTTTCTCGGTAGAATATTTATTGATATGAATATAATTAAATTGCACAATAGGAACAAGGAATTGAATGAAAATAAGAATTGCACAAATTTTAACTATAGAAATATATTTTGTTTACTAAAACATTGTACATGTAAACTTAAACTTAACACGAGAGACTCATCGTAACGTTACCGAGCGTTACACTTTTTCATAAGTGACTCCCAGCCGCAACCTAATTTAAGACGTTGTCACGTCAAAAATCATGCGTTTAATTTGGGTTCGGGCGTTATTTAACGTTAAAATTAAGTAACCAAGTGTTTCGTTGCGATTTATAATAAAAAAACATAGTCATACATAGTTTCACTTTATAAGATTATTATTTTAAATAAAACTAGTTTTAACGGGTTAATGCACGAACTTTATTTTTGACGTGACAACGTCTTAAATTAGGTTGCGGCTGGGAGTCACTTATGAAAAAGTGTAACGCTCGGTAACGTTACGATGAGTCTCTCGTGTTAAGTTTAAGTTTACATGTACAATGTTTTAGTAAACAAAATATATTTCTATAGTTAAAATTTGTGCAATTCTTATTTTCATTCAATTCCTTGTTCCTATTGTGCAATTTAATTATATTCATATCAATAAATATTCTACCGAGAAAAAGACGTTGTCACGTAAAATCTTCGCCCGTAAAACCGACTTTACAGGCAACCATTTTTTTTATTGACGTTTCGCAGCCTTTTCACCTAAAGACCTGAAAAGGCTGCGATCTGCTATCAATAAATAAATAAATTTTGTTGAAAAAAAAAAACAGTTTTATTTAATGAGTGATGTGCGTGAAAACCTAAGAAACAAATATATATTATTTTATTTTTTAATCATTAATCTTCTCGATTTATAAATCTAAGGAATTTGTTGCTTAAGTTTTCACGTACAGTACTCATTAAATAAAACAAATTTCAACGGGTTAGATGCAATGATTTAGTTACTTATAACATTTCGCATCCCTTTTAGGCTGCTTTGACAGAATTATAATAATTCTAGAGATTTTTTTACTAGAAACAGTTTTCTTTAGTATATTTATTTTATACTGACGTCCTCTGTGGTCTAGTGGTTTGTAAGCCGGGTTTCATTATGTCACCGACTCGAGAGGTCCCAGGTTCGAATCCCGGTGGGGGCAGATGTTTGTGTGATGAATACGAGCATTTGTACTCCAGTCATGGATGTTTAATATGTAATTCTATATATATATACTTATATATGTACAGTATATGTATTCTATTCGTTACCCTAGCATCCCATAACACAAGCCTTACAGTGCTTACTTTGGGGCTAAGCTAATGAGGGCTACCGTTTTCTGCCTCACCAGATTGCGCCACTGTTGAGTGAGGTCCTAAATTGTAACTTTTAAAGTTTATTAATACGCACATGAAATCAAAGTTTACATTTAGATCGTATTTTAACACAAAAGAACCATATCCTAAACA